AATAATGTGATTAGTATTGAAACTGTCAACGTTTATTTTTCTTGTCTATTATTTAATTCTTCCAAAAACACTTTTAATGTTATTTTTTTCCATCGAGGCTGAGCACTCACGCCCATTGCCCTCCCATGAATTCGTCCCTGATACGCGGGGACACATCGGTGGACAGACTGCATCATCTCTGTATTACAATGTGGGATGCTCGTAGTGTTCGTATCCCGTCGCGCGAACCACGACCGTTTCCGCCATGGGCGTCACTAAGTCCAAATTTCGGGATAGCAAAGTTTATTTTTAGAAAGTGAAAAAAAATTTTTTTTATAGGTTTAATATTATAACTAGCCAACCATAAATCTATAAATAAACCATAAACCATAAATTCATAAATCTTGGTATGACTTATAGTGTATCCACTGTCTTATCTTCCGTATTGGACTTATCAAAAAATATAATTATTTTGGATACAATCACAATAATATAGTCTATGGACACACTCAAATAATAAACATCGAATATATTTTTTAAATTCTATGACTTTTTTTGGGGTAGCAAAAAGATACCTTTACTACACTTCAAACATTTCTGGGTTAGCAATGATACCCTTCGATACCCCTTAGTGACGCCTATGATTTCCGCGACCGCCTGCGGACGTAACTCGCCGAACTCGGGACAAATATGATGCGGTATCTCGAGACATGATATGGGGCAATGTGCACATCGTGCACGTCTAAGCGGCAGAACGACTGACCAGACTTGGATAGATTTTCGATATTCCGTGCAGGTGTCATGTGAAAATGTCAATAATTGATTGGATAACATTTTCGTTATTTTATCGCGCACTTATAGCACATATTTAACAAAACCGAACGTTCGTACACACCCACAATATCACGCGGTGTTAATGTAAAACAGCAAAAACGCTTAGTTCGTGTGCACTACCGGGAAACGAATTGAAAACTGTAACGTTACCATTCATAATACGACAGCGAATGTCCACCGCTATCTCCGCACTAGACATTCCGAATATCTCCGATTAATATTTATAGCCCTGTCTCGGAACCTCGAGGACTCTTCAATATCGTAAAATATATAATTATCAAATGATCGACACAATGATGTTTACTGTTTGAACGAAATATATTGTAATTCAAACATACACACCTGATTATTGGATCGCAGCGTTGAACAATGATAATGGTCCTAATGACAGTCTGAGATGACGCACACAATGTACTTGATATGATATGGTAATCTGTCAACTGCTGTTCTCTTAATTGATCGTTGTCGTTGTGAGCTATCTCCCCCCCCCATTTTCCCTCCCATCATATAATAAAATATTTGATATTCGAAACGCTTAAGCTAAAAACCGATGTAGTTCTAGGTTTGTTAGATCTGTAACAGAATGAAAAAAATCGAAAGAAACTGTTGGTTCGACAAAAGCGTGTTGTACTTATGTTAATAGTTATATCGGAAAGACTTGAAATTCATTGTTTGCTGAGAGTATTACAGATAATTTATAATCTACTGTATTTGTCCATTTATAACAATGGTTAAAATCTACATTAAAAGACATGGGGATAAATTGCGTTTAGTAAAATAATTAAAAGAAAAAAACGAAACGAAAATGTATTGTTATTTTATTCATATAGAGTGAAATCGTTTAACATGCATCCCTTAATAACGATCGTTATATGTTTTTACGGCAGAGATACAGGCGTATTTGAAGTAATAAACTCTAAATTGCTTGGCTTATAACTGACAAGATGACAACCACTAAACGACCGTTTTACGAATGATAAAACACAAACACGATTACTTTTCTATGTACTTTCTGATACAGGGTTGGTTTTGCGCAACAAAAACCGTAGTCATTAGGGTACAAAAATTCGGTATGTATATTAAACAGTCGTTGCAATAAATATTGTTAAAAATTATATTTTGTCGACTCAGAGTCGAGTACACCGCGTTCGCGTCATACGTTTAAACATGCAAACGTTGAATCCATTTACCGATAGACAACCGTGATGTTGCACGTATGTTGGATACCAATACAACAAATTTACGTTAAATGTAAAAAAATAAATATAAATTACTAATGTTTTCAGTTTTAAGTATCGATCCGTGCACAGTTTTTCAAATCAATTCTCAGCGTGAATGACGTATTATAATAATTATATTGCACGGTCCATACCATGCGTATTGTTTTTTCGTAATACTCAAATTGTAATCACGACGAGTAACCCGTACAACCCGTAAGTAAATCGTAGTAACATAATGCATATTAATTAGGTAATATTTTCAAACGTTTTCTAAACGTCTATCGTTCTAAACTAAAGAAATCCTACCCGAAAATCACACACGGTGTTTTATTATTTTCGAGTGCCAGCTTAATCCGTTTTCTTTTTTTTTTTTTATAGAGGTTTCGCATAGTATTACGTTTTTTTTTTTTTGTCGAGCATCGTAACACGTGGTTTCAGAACATAATCCACATTACAGTTACACTATTTCTTACTTTCGATTACTGGCCGACCGCAATGAATTACATATCGATTTGACAATTTCCTTAATAACACGCGTGCACAACGAGTTCAAGACGAACGGTAAAACATAAAACGCAAGTTCCAAGTCCGAGAACAGTCGTGAAGCTCTGACCAACGATCTCCGTCCGACAAACGATCGTCGGTTCAGCTGTACGGTCGTGGGACGACCATGAGACAAACACGTTGAATGACGCACGTCAACGAGTATCGTTGTTACGGTTCATCGGGATTCGACGGTTGTCGTGACCGCGAAACGATTTTTGATGTATATAAAACGCATCGTACACGTAATCTGTATCGGTCGTTACGGTTTTATGAACTACGCGGTGCAAAGGATTTCCGGGCACTGCGAAAGGCGCTTAGTTGCTACACGATAATCCGTTTGCGATCATTCGGTTTAAGTATGGTTAAAGAGTTTTTATATTTATTTTTATATTCGATGCACCGAAATGCGATTGCTCAAGAAATACAAAGAATGTCTCTGGCAAATGGATAACTTGAGACAAACTTGGACAAACTTGATTTTAACTTAAGGCACGCAATAACGAGTCGTTTAAAAACATCAACCAGACAATGTGCACTCGGCCATTGATGCTGGTATCGCATGTATTCAGTGGCGTATCCAGGATTCATTTAACGGGGGTGTTTTAAAATTTAATAGACTTATGGTAAGGGGGAGGCTTTTCCCCCTCCTATATTACATAAATAAATACCACGTATTTATATAAATTATTATACTAATGAAAATGATTATATTAATGCAGTGCATGTAAAATCGACAAGTTGTATACAACGTTTATTCAAATTATACTGTAAGTTTGTAATTTAATGAAATACCATAGAATATAGTCGATGAGGGGTGTTCTAACACCCATATCACCCCCTAAATACGCCCTTGCATGTATCGACTGGTATCGCATCGTCGTTCTGCGAGAATCACTAGGATTTAAATACTTCGCCGGCATACCAAATCGAAATCGGTCGTGCGACCATTGCTCATACTATACGAACGACTCGAAGCCACGCGCGATTTCAATTTATCAAGCACTGCAGCATTTTTAGTGGTTTTTTTTTTTTTTTTTGATCTTCCAGAGTTTATACAGTACGTTTGAATACATATTATTCGCAACAAAGAGATTGTTTTATTTATTTTTCATACAAGATACCTACTTGTAAAACGCATTCATGCGAACAACTCACAATTTCCGTTCGTCGAAGAGATAAATATAAGTCTGAGTACGTTTCTGTGGTGTTTTACATTTCACAAGTTAGTGCATTTAAATTAAAAATTGCTGGTATCCACTTTCGTTAAAAAAACGAATTTAATTTAACAAATCAAAGCCACTTGTTGAAATAAGAAAAACGGTTTTTTTATGTCAGATCGACGTTATTAAAACTACGTTTCTTATAAATGTCTAATGCAATAGTGCTCAACCCACGGCCCACGGGCCAAGTGTGGCCCTCAAAGGTATTCAATGTGACCCGCTACAGTTTTTATTTTTTTTAAAAATGAAGCAAAATATTAAAAAAAAAAAAGTAAAATCATCATAAAATATGATTTTCTTTTTAAAATAATTTCATTTTCGAGCATTTTCAAATATAAATTTTACAATATAATCCGTGAACTTTAAAGAGCGTTTTGATCAAATTAATGTGTACCTACAGCATGTACCATAATCTGTAATCATTTCAGTTGGTAGTTAATAATATTATTCTTACTTTTATATTTAGTGGCACGCTCTAAGATAATTGTTTACCAAAGTTGCCCGCCGAGGAATAAAATGTTGAACATTATTCCGTATATGCTTTCATATTTTTCGCGTAAACTTATGTTTATGAAAGCTATAACGAATTTAATTAAATCGAAGGAATGAAATGTTTTGACTAATAAAACAATTGCTTGTGTTTCGCTAAGAATGACTAAAATTCTATAAACAGAATGTACTAAATCTGTAATTTTATTTTTAAAAAACATAATTTTCTTTGGGCACGCGAAAAATTTTCAAATCCTTAATTGGTAAAATTTGGCAATTGAACCAAAAATGGTTTGCCACCCCTGCCGTATATGTTCGCCCCCCCATTAACCTGTTCGGCTCGTGATTTCAGTCGTAAAACAATGTTGGCGTTTTATTGCTAATGTTTATTGTGTTCTAGGCGTTTCAAAAACGGAGTCCCGCACAGTACAAACACAAGATTATTAATTCTGTTAGATCACGTGCAAGTACATCAAATGTGTTTCGCAACGCATTGCTGTAATCAGTGGCATATCCAGAATTTTTTTGATGGGGGGTTAGTTAGTTTTATATATAGTATATATAATACGATATCTTGAAAATAATGAGGACCACTGGGCGTTGTGTCGATCGATGATTAAATTATTTAAACATTGAAAAATTGTTGGGAGGGGATTATAGCTCCCTACGCCCGGGTACGTGGAACAGGAACAATAAATTATTGCATAGACCGTGTTTTGCTATCAGCTGTTTATTTGAAAAAACTTAGTAATGATCCGAACAACGATGGGCTGTTCAAGTCGGAGTATCCGTAACGTCCTCCGTAATTCCAAAAATCCAAATCTCCGTCGAGATTGTTGTACAACCGGGACAGCCCGTACCTCGGTATTCTGTACAAGTGTCCGTATTTGCCCACGTAACCGAGACCGTACTCGAGGCCGGGGAAGTCCAGGTCCAAATCCAAGTCCAGGTCGGTGTCGATTAAAAAGTCTAAATCGTCGATGTCGTCCAGGTCGAAGTCCAGGTCAAAGTCGATCAACGGGAGGAACAGCGGCGTGTACGTGTGGAATTCCGAAGCGTATATGGGCAAGAACAGCGGCGACCCGCCATCGGAGTAACTGTAACTGTAACTGTAGCCTGGACCGCGGACCGATTTACTGGTGTAGCTGTAGGAATGGCCACTTTGATCTGTACGACACAAACGCGTGAGTTATTCAATCTGTCAACACGTCTAAGCTGATTATTACGAATCGACAATAATTGCATTTTATGGCGGACACATTTGAGTTCCGTAAACAAAAAATTCGATTACGCCACGGAAAACGTGTATTGTGACGCATACAAAGCGTGTAACATGAAATCTCCGCAAACGTCGTTCAATTAAAATCGTAATTATAAATTTAATTAAACAAAATATTGCACGTTTCGGTGTAATTTATTAATTTTAACAATAATACATTTTTTGAAATTTAACAACTAAAATAGTTTACGTCATTAAAATATAACACAACGGCGAATAATTATAATACCCGAAAAACATCAAAGAGAGGTTTTCTGGGTAAAAAAAAATAATCAATCGTTCTTTAAAATTATATAACATTGACCACGTCTTTCTGAGCGCTCTCCCCTCTTAAACTCATTGAACATTGTATGTAATTTATTTGTGTGTTTATAGAACAACTTATACTTAATTGTGTTGAAATAATCAAATCAAATTTTAATCACTTGAAAATTACGCAAACGAGAAAATTACATAAAATTACACTTTTGATGAGTATGCTTTCAGAATTTAAAATGTGTTTGAATGACGGAAAAAATCTAATTATTATATTTTTTTGGTGTATGAAGATCTTTTTCCAGTTCCGTGAACTGTGGATATATTCGATAGACTTTTCAGAGCACCGGAGAAAATATGACGAACCTTAGTGGATTCTTATAAATGAAGTACGAAGTGATGCTTCCCGATCGTTGGGAACAGTGCATCTTTTAAACTAGTTAACTAGGCGACACACATTTTGAAAGACTCGGCGAAATACAATTAATTGTCAAAAAACGATTTTTTTTTTTTTAATTATACAAAAAATAAAAAAATAATTTGGTAATGTACGATAGATACATTTGTATATAATACCATACGTTGTCGTATTATCGATATAACAGCATCAGTGGCGACTTTATGTGTATCTATTACGTGCCTACAGCGGTAAATTTGAAGCATGTATTTTGTTATTAATTTTTAATAAAACATTAAGAAATTATGTTTTAGTATTTAAATAAAATTTGTTTTGCACACTCACATAATTAATATATATTTTATAGTTAGTGATTATTTGATAATTAAATGAGCGCGGTATATTGTTTTAGTTCTTTAGAGCGGCAATTTTCCACAGGCCTACACACGGGAAATATGTAAATACGTCCCTGACCAGCAGAAAATTTTAATTTTCAGTAATTACGCGATCGTGAAATACGACAATCATATTACATCGTACACTGGTGAATGTTCATTAAAAAAATTCACTGGTCGGAAAGCGCGAGTAATCGTAATGTTAGCGGAAACGTGTCGTAACGGCTCACCCGTGCTTTTTTTTCCTTTCAAAGCACGAGGTGTGGTAGAGGCAAGAGGTGAAACGGAAACGCACACGTTAAGCTTTAAAAGTTTAAAGAATAAGACCGATTTCCGCGAGTTCTATGCAAATGTACCAGTGTTCAAAGTGGCGTAACAAGAATACGGCGAACCGTGCTCACACGCCGCAGGAACGGAAATCGTGGATCTAGCGCTACATCTTATATCGTGCGCGATTGTTTTCATGTTTCGTTTAACATCGCCGGAAGAAGGGTGTTTCGACGTTAGTCAGAAATATCGCACGCCACTGGCTTCCGCGTTGCAGATATATACGAATGCACTTACGTGACGAGCCGCTGCTGTAACTGGACTGCGATTGATGGCTGGACTGCTGGTTGGAGGATTGTACGAACGCGGACGACACGCCGGATCCGACGATCAGGAGAGCTGCGATTCGGTGGCACATCATCGCGGTGACTCTGGGCACACTTGACGGTACGACTTGATCGGAATCCGCCTGGTCGTAGATATTTATCCGGCACAGAGACCGGAAGTGCCCTCGACCCGGGCTCGGTGAAAACGCGCACAAGGCCGTTGTTGTTGTTGATCGTATTATTGTTTTTCAGTATCATTGTCTCTTGGTCGCCAGTAGCTATAGGTATACGATATCGTCGCGATGTACGGGCGCGCGCGATCCCCCAATGCCGTTCGATGCGTCCGAAACGGTTCGTCGGTCAATTCGATTAACCGTATTCGCGTTCATCCGAATAAGGTTTTCGAGATCCGTATCCGTTTTTCCCCTCCTTACGATTGATCCGAGAACCCGACATCACAGTGCGTCGAAAACCATTCGATTCCGTTCCCGTGCGGCACCTTATCGTCGTCACGATTCGCGTTTAAGCCGGAAGTCGTTTTCCGGTCGGTTTTTGCGTTTGTTTCTCATTTTTCACGCCACTTCGCGCCGTCCTTTGATTAATGCGTTGTGTTTCGACGCGATCGGAGGACCGGAGCTCGGGGGAGAAGACTTGATCTCGTACGATTGTTCAAGTATTTGTATTTAAATCAATAACTTATTAAAATATAAATGTACATTATAATTATAAGTAGGTAAATAGGTATAAAATAATTAAATATATGAGTTATGTAAGTAAATACATACATACATAAGTACATAAGATTACTTTTACTAGTAAGTAATAAGTTATAATTTATGACAATTTTAATTGCAAATTTTTCATTTTTGTGCCCTCCCAAGAACTGCGCCCGGGGTGTAGGCACTTTTAGCCCCCCTTGCTACGACCCTGTGTAGAACTTAATGACTCGTATATCAATATGACCTAAAATAATGTATAGTGTAATATTATTTAAGTCATAAAAAATTGACTGTTACGTTCGACGATCTTGTTTCACGTAAGTTGCAATATTGTTTTTAGACTTTAGTCTGAATTTCATTCTTAATACTCATTGTATTTATATTTAATATTTATTGGGATTTCAACTACAAAGAAAATAAGGTAAGCCTTGTCTTACAGTTAATTTTCAAAGAGAAAAACACAGGTCATATTGTTTTATACATAATAATGATAATGACTACAACAATGCTTGTGCAAGAATTTTCAGATTGCCACGGTGTTGTCTTCGTCGAGGGTTTGGTTTGTTGTAAAACTTGTAGACTGTTGATGATTTTGCAGGCTTCGGGGCATTTATGGCAGATGATAACTATATATTTGTATTTTAGAATTACATTGAAACTGTTACATGCTGGTGCTCTTTACTGATTATGTGTGCGTGGGTTAGAGGAATGTATCCTACTTTAACTCAGGAGAGTATTCCTTTTTTAATGTTAATTTTTACCTTTATTTATTTGTTTGTAAGAGGTAAACTGATCTAATATTCCTACCGTGCTTCATTAATTTTATTTATAATAATAATAAACGTCTTGGATTTTTCAATAGAAATAATTTTTATGGAGGACAGAGAAAAGGTTACTTTTTTGGCTATTAAGTTTGCTTTTTCATTTCCAGGTATTCCGACTTAGGAAGGAACCCACATAAATTATATAATTTTATGTATTTCTTAAAATAAACCGTAATGATAATATTGTATAATATACACAACTATACATGATTGGGTATACACATTGATCCACGTGTCAAATTACATTACAATTTGTTAGTTCCTTTATTAAAGTGCTTATACTATTTGTATTCACTATATACTATAGTATGTAAAAACGATTTAAATTTTAAATCTTAGCGAAGGATAAGGTGTATGTGTAGTGGCGTAATTTGAGGGGAGGAATTTTCCAATGAACTTGTCCCACTCTAAAGTTTAATTATTCCAAAGTCGACACATCATCAAAATACAAATACGTCTTTTATAAAGCCATTTACATATAAATCAGAAAAATGAGACATGTACTTAAAGGTATTATTTATTTTTATGTACAAAGTATAAATTATATCTTGGGACTGGTTTGAAGTTTCCCTTTGCCCAAGTTTATCGGCATTTTGTTAAAATTTAAAATATGTCGTCGAGTTGGCTACTGCCCTATTCTAGCGCACGTGTGTGTATGACATCCTCCCTTTTCACAGTTTTGTTTGATTATTATCATCCGTGTAATTAACTTTAACATTTTTCTTTGCACATACGGTTTTTGTGCGAGTTAGTTATCAATTTTAAATAATCTTTCGGTTGCGATCGCAATCCTTTTATGCATTCAGAACTCTTCCTTTTGACCAAAGTCATAGAAAGTGTATACGTCATGGAGTCTTTACAGGAGCACAGCGCCGTCGACCGTTACTTGATTATCCATTACAATAATTTTGATTTGTTTTTCTTTATTTTTATCCAAGCAAAAATTTAGGCTTATCAAAGGCACCACGAGTACCGTCGCTTTAAGGTAACCGTTCATAGGTTCGCACGTACGTATCAGATTTATTCCATTTATTCCATTTCGCAAAACTTACACCGTCTCAAGGCGTGCCACGTGAACAGATACTTTTCTCTTGTGCACCCGTGCGAATGTTATCGCGATTACAGTGTGGGTACTGTATTACAAACATTTCGGGATGTGCGTGAAATGAATTGCTTCGCAGAGTGTCGCACGGCGATGTAGAGAAAAGCAATCTGTCAAGCGTGCTAGGGTTTCCCGTTTCAGTTTTATTCCATTATCACAGTTACTGCTTTAAATTTCAAATCGATCTCACGTTATTAAGTTGTACACAATTTGTCCTAGAATTAAAAATATATTAATAATCACGTTCGTATTCGCTAAAATAATAAGTTGAAACGTGAAAGTGTTCAAAGGAATCAACTTTAAAAATTTACATCTTAGACATTTTTTTTATAAAATCTTTTGCCAAAACATAAAAATATATATAATTATTTTTGGCCGTTATATACCGGAGAGTCTAAAAAATAACCAACGTTTGATTATCTACGTTACCCAGAATCTAGCCAGAAGATGTGGTAACGGGTTCATAAAGACTACAATTATCCGTAAACATTTTAATCGTTACAAACGTTTTCTAGTAATACAACTTTATCATCATGCAATTTAGTTAATCGGCAGAGCCATTTATATTATATGCGCTTATTAGATTCAGTACTACACCGTAAGTTTAAAATGTGCAGGGATTACAACTTTTAAGATTTGCGTTACATTTAGACAATTTTAAAATAACCATCAACAACCACTGTTTCCTTCTTCTCGTTGGATGCGCTTGGATCTCAATTATGTACCAAGACATTACTCACCCCAGGGAAACATGAAATCGCTATTGTACTTTCATACATTTTACAGGAATCGTACATTATTAAAATTTTAGTTTACTCGTAAATGCATCCCTTTGGGACAATTGTTCGTTCTTACCTCTGTCTTATTTTCGGATTAAGTGCCAAATATTTTATTTTAAATTAGTTGAATTGTATTATGTTAAATTTTTGGTAACAACTATTGAACATTGCTAGATGAGCCACGAATTATACGTAATTGTTTTACTGTTTTGCCCTCCATCTTACCCCTAGAATACAAGACAGTTGTCTTGTGATTTAATTCATCTCAAAAAATGTTCTTATTCTATATAAAGAAATTATGTATCAAGGCAGTAGCAAATGTTTTACTTTTCACGAATATAAAAACATATTTACTTAAATATTTAAACAAAAGTGGACCTAGTAAAAGTAAAAGTAGTTCAATCTATTTCAAATTTCATTTCAGTATGGAAATTCGGAAATAATTTTATCGATAAGTGGATAGTTTTATTAGTTGATTTATGAGAACGGAAAACATTTGTATAACTAAAATAAGATTATTTTTAAACTATAAAAAATGTATTATTATAAAAAAAGGTATCTCTTCGTGTTAATGTAAAATATAAACCTACTTATGTTAGTTTAATTTAATTTATAGTTAATTGCAAAACATTGATTTATAAATTAATATATGTAATTTCTAATTTAACTCTGTATAAAAATTTTAAGTTTATACAAAGAAAAATGTATTAAATTAGTTGGACAATTGTATATAACATGGACAATTTGAGAGTGGATTAAATGAGAAATAATTATATCCTTAATAAATGTTTATATGTAACAAAAAACAATATAATGACATTTGTCGTAATGCTGTACCACGATCAAATACAATACAACATTTATTAATGTTGATCTGCTGATTAACATTTTTTCAAAATACCGAAAATTCGTATTTCAAAATTTGACCTATATCCAACTCTTAGTTATTATTACACTATTTTTACTTAAAATTGCTATTGAAATTGAACGATTCGCTGCTCTCAATAATTGTTGAAACGTTGCTTTTATACTCAATAAAATGTAATTCTCCGTTACATAAAACTTCTACAGGTCAATAGGGTTTTTTTTTTTTTTATTCGTAATAAGTAGTTTTTCTTAACTCAATAATAAGAAGAATTCTTGTTACAATAGTTTTCTACTAGCGCAGTCAGATAAAAATGAAATATATACCTATTCGTTGTAGCCGAATTATTTCAGTTATTGTTTAAACACATAAACATTATTTAGGAAATAAAATTCGAAAAAATTAAAATAAATTACCGAGTCTTACAATAAACGTTCTATTCAAATCAAACGCTTGCTAGTATAAATTAGCAATTGAAAGTCTTAATTGATAAGTTTAAGAATTCTCAACCAACTAATATAAACAAGTGATTATAACGTATTTTTTTTGTGATAATATTATTTTGTATAAATCCTAGAGATGAATTCGGTGACGAATAATTCCAATATTCCGTGTGACATTTATGTAAATTAAAATATATATGAACATAAATGAATGCATATATTTATTATAGAAAATTTGAAGTATCTTACTATTTCATAGCGTAATCGAAAAAATATAAAATTACATATACTTGTATGAGTGGTTTGATAAAATTGTGTATGTAAATATAATTTCATAAATGTTCAGATCAATTAACTGCATATTTCAAATAATTTTGTATAC